ATTTGTGAGAGGATATGTGGCAGCAGGTGACGGAAAAGCATTTGTTTTTAAATGTCTATCATTGTTACTGAAACCCCATTTGTTCTCACCGGCTGATGGGGCCTGGGTAAACCCACTCCATTTTTATTCAAATACTTATATGAGTCAGCTTATTTGACATATCTTAATAGGTTAGTAAAGGTATAAGTACTTCTAACCAAACACAAATCTGAACATTCACTACTGAGATTTATCTGATGATCCCTTGTGATTCAATCAAGAACAATCTGTGCCCAGGCACAAAATAGTGATGTTTGTGAATCAACTCATCAGATAATATTGTCTTTGCAGTAACTCAAGGGATTTTTTTTTTAACTTGGAGAAATAATAAAAGGAAGTAGCTGAGATGTACTTAAACATAACATGAATCATCTGTAGATGGATTTACTTAACAATTAACTCAAGAGTACGAATAACATATTACAATGTGTTCAGCACAGGTATAATTTTTAAAACTAATTCCTTCCCCAAAGGGAATGGTAAGCAATGTCAAACATCAATGACTGAAACAAATTCCACACCTGAGAGCTCATCTCCTTCTGCAGCACTGCAGCGCTAGTTCTTTACTTTTTGGGTTACTCTTGTTCTTGACTGGTTGAATCTAGAAGCACTCAATGTCCAGTCCACACAGTCTGAAGACTTATTACCTACCCACCAACAACAACAAAAGAGCTCTTTGCTCATGCTGTTATTGCTGCCTCACAGGGCTCTCCTGACCATTGTATGTTTCCGTGAGGCCTCACGTGTTTCCCCTCACCGTTTCTTTCCTATGTGCTGTGCTTATATTTGTTCTTGATTTTGACCTTTGGGCTATAATGAAGTTTCCTTTAAGATGCCGTCCCTTTTTCTGCTTAACAAATTTCTCCCTTTGAAGCATCTGCAGACAGGTAGTAAGAACTACTATTTTAAATCCTTGCTACCAAAAGTACAGTTCATAGACTAGCAGCATCAACCTCACCTGAGAGCTTCTAGAAATGCAGAAATTTGGACCCCTGAAAGTAGGACCAGATGTGCTCAATCAGAATCATTTCTACAAAATCTCAGGTGATTTGATTTCTATGCATATTAAAGTTTTAGAAGCAGTGTTCTAAGTGGTATTTCATGAGCGAAATTTTTTGTTCCAAAGAACAAAATCTCAGTTGAAATGGAAAGGCCATAATGTCCACCCTTCACATAATAGAAGGGTCGGGGTCCTTTGCCAGTCCCTGGTTTGTATTGCTTGAAAGAACACAGTGAAGATGACAACTTTGGTTCTGGATCTGTAAATTCACGCACTCTCTTCCATAGAACGCTTGATTTGCCAAGCCTCCTCTACCTGTTACCCTATTTATACCCATCCCCAGCACCTCCACCATCACCACAAACATGTTATGGAGCTGTACCAAGCACTGTGCTAAGTGCATTTATATTCATACTAACAAGTCTATGAAGGAGGCACTAGTATCACCAAACCAGTTCTACGTAGCAGAGATTTGAACCCAGCTTGAGCCTTAACTACTAAACTTTAATTTCTCACGAATCCTTTGCTATTCTCCATTTTTGGATAGAGAAATGTACGAATACACATCCTTGTCAAGTCGTGATCGCCTGAATCTCACATATAATTAGCCCTCTTGTTTAAAACATTTTGTTACCCTTTCTAGTGACCTAGAACTTGTTATCTGAGAAAGTGCCTGTAGAAATATAGAGGGGTGTTTAACCATATTTACTTAACAAACACACTCCTTATAACTAACTAGCTACAAGCTTAACTACACTGAAAAAAAACCTTTTAAAAATATCCTTTTGTTTCTAAATAGAGTATTTACATTTACATGTTTCATGAAGGTAAATATGACATCTAAAATGATTTTTAAAGGCATAAAATTAAAAAAATTACTTTGATGAATGTTTGAGTGTATCCTGCTAAATGAAATAAATCAGACAGAGAAGAACAAGAACTGTGTGATTTCACTCATATGTGGGATATAAAACATAAAAGAACAAATGAACAAACAAAACAAACAAAACAAACACGGGTACAGACAACAGTGTGGTGGTCACCACAGGGGAACAGGGTGGGGGAAGGATGAAGAGGGTAAAGGGGGTCAAATATATGGTAATGGAAGGAGACTAGACTTCGGGTGGTAAGCACACAACACACTACACAGATGCTAAATTACAGAATTCTACACTTGAAACGTGTACGTTAACCATTATTAACCCGATAAATTTAATTGTAAAAAGCTTACTTTGTAAAGTGTGTTACTTTGGCAAATTGTTCTTTTAGGAAAATTAAGAGATTTGTGCACATTAGACTTAAAAACAGACAATAATCTAGTATAGAACATTAATTTCTAACTGCCTTAAAACATTCTTTTTGTTGTTGATGCTCTACATGTCGTGTCGTTTGAATGTCTAAATGGAGTACTCTCATCATTCAATATTCCTGTTGTTGATTCCATGTGTATTTATGACATCAAGATTGATTCAAGACATTTTTGTAAATCTAAATCAATAGAGGCATCAAAACAATAGAATGTAGGTTTTCTAAAACCACAAAAACACAAATATTTACAAAATGTATGCTTTTTCAATAGTTGTGTGGTCCTCACTTAAGTAGCATAAACTCTTAAGGTTAAAGTAACTTCTTTAAGGCTCATTCCATTTTTTTCTCCTTAGCCTACAGATAAATCAGTTACTTTAAAATATTGTATCATCACTTCAAATATATTTCTAAAATAAAACATTCTTTTCTCAGTCACACTTCTAAGTCCTCCTGAAGTCTGCTTTTCAAAATGTATTATTTCTCATATTCATTCCAACTCATATTATCTTCAATACATTTAACGTTTTTTTTTTTCATTAAAGTACCCTTTGGTTTTTTTTTAAATGAACAAAAAGGAGACAATCTCATTCCTAAATGTATTGATTCTTTCAAAGTTCTAAATAAACAATATACTTTATTACCTTTCCTTACTGTATGCTGTTATTCATTCTTTATATTTTCATCTTCCCAAGCACAGAGCCTTAAAAAGAGTGGCTATCCAGCAAACTTTTAATGAAGTGAGTGAATGAAATGAGCCAGCAAGCTAATCATTGTCCACAATAGATTTAGTCTCCTTTGGGGTATCCAAAACGACTCTCATGAAGAAATGGACCCTGATACTTGTTTGATATGAATGTTTATCTTTGAGTAGGTTACTGATGTACTGCCGAGCACACTGACAATCTGTACACAAGCTATTATTCAATGAGTATTAGAGCATTGGTTGTGAAACTGAGAAAAAAACAAGGTAAATGGCCTGAGTTAACAGTAATAAATAAAAAATTTAAAACTATAAGAGAGGAGTTATTAGAAATGAGCTTAACTTTATACATTTAGAATGCAGCCAGAATAAATGCTATTAAATACTTTCAATATTCATAAATGACTCCAACAGTCACACACAACTTACTACAAAACTTACATCCTCAGTTTTAATTATAAAATGTTTCCTCTTCCCACTTCCTTAGAACTGTTATAAACTCTTCCTTCCCAGGAGAGGGAAAAGAAGAAAGAACCTCTGCTTCTTCAGTTTGGCCTTATTCTTCACAAGCAGCACAATCCCATTTGCTCAAGTAAGGGGCCTGAGAAGTCCACCATCCCTTCAGGAATCCCCCAAGTATACTTTTTCATTACATTATTTTACATGCATTCTTATTTTCCTCTAAAAAAGTTGAAGTATGTCATAAACCTAAAACTGCTCGAAAAATATAGTCTTAAAAACAAGATGGCCAGCTGAGCAACGCTCTTAACTGATGTTAATGCATATTTCAAATGTTCCTGAAATTCAAATGAATATTCTTAGAGGAACCATATGTACTTCAAGTCTGAGAAGCAGCCCATTACTGCCAATGGTATATCATTCTTAGCGACTCCCAGCTTCCAAATCACCATTGCAAGATACCTTCACTTCTGTGCCTCCTTCGTTCTGGCTCTTAGCACAACATGCACAAGCTATAGACAACATAGGCTCTTCAAAACATTCCTTTCATCATGCACATGGTAGTTCAAATTCCATTTATGGATTCCGGATAAACTTTGCCAATGTTCTCGACTACTTCAACCCCACCCTTCCCACTTCCCAGTCTTTAAGACTTGACTTAAACCACATCTCCTTGGTAAAGGCTTCTCTGATCACCCCAGGATAGTCTCTCAAATTCTTTTCATTCTTCTTCATATTTTTCATTTGGTACTCCTAAACTTATTTTAAATAAAAATGTGCCTTGTTCTTTCACCTAGTTTGTAGTCCCTTTCTTATTCCTTTCTACATAGCAGCTAGCACGGTGGCTTGAATATAGTAGCTTTCAAATGTTCGAGTACGCAAAGGTTTAAAATGGGGAGAGGAAAGAAGAAACTTGAATAGTGTTGAGGTGCATTTTATTTGTATATTATTAAGAAATCTGCCCATTGGCTCAACCTATTATTGTAACTATTACACCTCTATCTTGATTAACAAATTCCAGGTATGATGCATTGTCAGACATGAAGTAAAAGTGGCTACAAAGCTGAATAGTTAAAATCACAGATGCCTGTATTACTATTAATACGTGATGTTTGGTTTACACATATCATTACTGTTATTAGAATTAACTATTCAGCAGTTGAATTGCTGAATAATTTGACTAAAGAATAAGATAATGCTTTAATGTCTTTTTTTTTTTTTTTTGTAGTTTAACAGTACATTTTAAAGAAAAGTTTTCCTTGGCCTCAGATGGCAATCATTAGGACCACAGAACCAGATGAGACCAAGAGGCATTAGTATGTGCTCTTTCTCCAGGGTGGTCTAGTCTAAAGTATATTTTGGCCTCTTCAGGAACAGAGAATATCAACCTATTAGGTTACATGCTGTAATTCTTTTAGATCTTATTTGTTACACATCAAATCTAATCCAAAGTCTTCATGTTGTAGTTCAAGAAAAGAAAGCACTAAAAACATGTTAGGTAAAATAAATACTTTATTCTTTTAATTTTTTTTTTTTTTTTAGAAATCAGCCTTTGTGTGATAATTCAAATATTTATAAACCTTTTAGATTGTCTTTCAAAGAATATTGTTAACATCTCAACCACTTTTGATTAAAATTTCACACAAAGAAATATAATGGGAGTTGAAAATTATAAATGCTAAAGGAATAATTCTAACAACATTTGGTTGTTACTTTACATATTTATTTAACACATATATAACCAAATAGCAAACGACCTTACTTTTTTTTTCCATAAAAACAAACAGTTCTCAATGGTTAAAACTAAATTAAAACCATCTACTATGAGGAGAACAAGTCTAAATTAATTCCATTTTGAGAACACAAAACCAGCTTATTTCTATCCATTCAAGTCGCAGGCCCCATTATTTTGGCAATATTCTACTTAGTCTAAAAGACAGAAGAAGAAACATCTCCTTATAATAAAGAAGTCTCGACAATGCAAAAAGTACATAGTGTTTAACATAAGGCACATTTCCAAAAGAAAAATACTATATAAGCTATAATAAAATTAAATTTGTCTTGGGTAAAGTAACAATGCTTACAGTGTAAAACATTTAAGTAGTTGTAGATAACGTCATATAATTCTATCCTACTGCTATTAGTAACTTCCTCAAGAATTAAGAGCAATTTTTCACAACAGAATAATTTTTCTTCTTGGAAGTGACACTAATTAACAGCAGTGGAGGGAAAATCATTGGTTGCTTCAAGCTCTCAACAAATGAATCAGTTATTGCACAGTAAATACCTCATAGAGGTCAGTGTTTAAGGAAGCTAATCTGAAGAAGTATGTTATTTATAAGTTGGTTAAGTCTGGAAGTTTTCAAGTTTTAAAATTAATTCTACATAGGAAATCAACTGGAAAATATTGACATACAAATAAATATTAAGCTTTTCAAATGGCTACAGTTTCGATAGCTTAGAAAAGAAAGTCAGCAAAGTGCCTATTTATATGTATGCTTTTAAAATAAGATATGCATCGAAGAAATAAACATTGTACACAGTATACAGTAGCCCAGCTTAGCAGCAAGTATCTTCTGAAGCACACATAACACCTCCACCAGTGTATATCATTGATATCCCCAGTATTACACAGCTAATACGATCCATGCCAACCTTAAAAAAGAAAGAGAAGTAAACATTAAACATCTTTGAAATATATTATTAAATATATTGTTTCTTTAAAAAGCTAAATGAGAATATTCTCTAAATATATCTATCTATCTATCTATCTATCTATCTATCTATCTATATATATAATACACACACACACACACACACACACACACACACACACACACAAGATCCTGCTGTGATCTCTACACATCTGAGAGTTAATTCTTTTATCCCTGGCTTTGGTAAAAAAAACAAAAAAACCCTTGTTAGTTACTTTATGAAATAGTTTTTCCCCCCATTTTCTACAGCTGAAATTGTATACTATACTTTTCAAATTATTTATAATTTTTTTTTTTTCTAGCTGAGCCATCCTGCCACCTGTTGGCAGCTCAGCGGCTGCTCAGTTCGGGCCAGGACTCGAACCGCTGTTGCTCAGAGCTTGCACTCTTGAGCGAACTCCTAACCAACTGAGCCACTCAGCTGGCCCTATACTTTTCAAATTATATTGTTTCTCATATTTTATTGAATGGATATTTTTAGTTCTATTAAAGATACTATTCTACTGAAGTGTATTACTTCCTTTTGCATTCACCAAGTATTACTATTAAAATACATATTTTATAATATGTAACTAGAGCTGAGATAAAATTAAAGTAATTCATTTTAATATATAAAACAAAACAATTCTTATAAATTACGACATGATTAGATATGAACCTATGGAATACATTTCTTTAAAAGACAATAAATTATAAAAGATACTAAGAATTTGTGATTAATTCTCAAAATCTCAGTCCATAAATTGTGCATCTGACATCCATTATAACCAATGCTATCAAAATAAGACTCAGGTTAGAAGGTCCTGATTTCCCCAATTCCAGCATTTATTTACTATAATGAAATTTCAGTAAAATGACATAAAATAATCCCTTAGGAGCAGTATTATGAGATTTGACTTGCTTGTATTTGAAAAGGGGTTCTATGAAGTTTTCACACTATAGAATAAAATATTACATACATTTTAAAAATTAAAATTTTATCAAACAGGCCTGTATACTAAGAAAACAAAGCATTAAAAACAAAGTACTAATTTACATTTATCTAAACAAAGAAATTCAGAAAATTTACCTATTAACTCCATTTAATGACTATCTTGCTTAGAATTAGATGCTTTACTTGAAGATACTGCTGCCAAAAGTCCACTTACAATTTCCCGTCTGATTTCCCCAACAATAGACTCTTTAATCTAGAATGGAAAAAGAGAAAAATAAGAATTTAACCATATGACTGTCATCCATTTTTTGTTTTCAAAAAAACATAAATAGCATTTAATTCCTGCAATCACATAAATCGTAAAGAAAACTACAATCTTGATGTGAATCTTCATGCAATAATACAGAGGGGAATCAAATGCATTTACCCTCAAACCCCAATCAGACATCTAGGCCTTGTTTACCATCATTCAGACAACTACATTATAAAATATATCCCATTTCTTAGGTTGAAAACACTAGAAAATGTTATTTTATAGATTAAGAAAACTTCTTTTAAAGAATTTGCTTCATGACACAAAAATAGCCTGGAAGAGTGATTAAATGTTAGGTTTGCTTTTAGGGTTTTTTTTTATTAATGTCCACCTTTGTCTGGTAATCAGCAGGATGCTCAAGTGTTCTCATTGTTAAGAAAACCCATTAGTGGCAAAATAATATACAGCTATACTGCCTGTTTATACTAACTGAAAGTGGAGTATCTAAGGAAATATATTGTTTTAACATAACACACACATTTTAAGCAGAAAGAAGAAATGATCACTTAGCATAAATTATTTTAAAACATGAAAAACATTCTCTAAACACTATAAACTCTAAAGAAATAAATTTTTCTTTAGTAGTATGGTACGTTTGTCACTATCTAAAACTTTTGCTTCAGATAGAGATACACATCTCATTTTATTGTTGGAAAAGGCAGAGACCTAGGGGCAATAACAATTGCATCAAGGTTTTCTTCTCTAGTTGCCCCAACACTGCACATGTCTTTTTCTCTCTAATAATATAGCATCACCTCCAAATAGCCCTTTGTGAAGACTTTAAATGTGCATTTCCTGAAACAAACTGATAATGCCTTCCCAAATTAGCACTCGAGACACTGTCAACCAGCTTTTAAAAATTCTACATTTCCACAGTTTCCTGTCAGCCCGATCTATTTCCTAAAATGTCTCTAAGTACATCCTGAACACATCTCAATTGAAGTCTTTCCAAAAATGGCTCTGTATTAATCTGTCATGCAAAATTGGTACACAGTACATACAGAGATTTATACATAAGTATCCAGAGAAACAAATGCTCTGTACCTACCATCCATCTGTATTGGAATATATGTAAATAAATATAAACTCATTTTACCTTCTACCAATATTTCTAATTTTTAAGCATCATCAAAAGTTTCTGAAGTTCATAGCACTTCAGATTCATTTTTTAAACAAATACATGTTAGCCACAAATATTATGAAAACCAGAATCTCTTAACCACAGGATACAAGCACAATGTGTTGACTGAGAACCACTGCAAATCTGTATTTACAGAAGACAATGACTAGCATAATATTTCCACTTCCATTGTCCAATACAATATGGCAAATTTATTAAATCTCATCATTCTTCATTGGTCAAAAAGTGTTACTTACAAACTAACAATGTGTGCCAATGTATTTGGGGAGTACTTAAGTAAAGTCTCCACCATCATGGATGTTATAATCTAGACAGGCAGAAAATGAATATTGTTTCATAATATATTAAGACAAAAAAACTTATTAATTCATTAATAATATAATAAAAGAATAAATTTTGAAAAATAAGAGACCAGTATGGGTTAGAAGAAGAAAAAATACCAATTCTCAGAGAATGGTGTACTTTAACAAAATAGGTCATGAAATAGAAAGGAAGATTTCAGACAACAGTGAGAATAGAAAATTACAGCAAGAGCACTGTGGATGAGAGGGCAGCAGAAAAGAGCCTTGGTGACAAGACAGTTCCTGCTAGTAAGTGGAAGAAAGTTAGAATAGAAAGGGTGAGGTCAAATAGAAAGTGTTTACTGTGAGCTATTTCAGGTAGAGGATTGGGTCTCATTTATTAGTGTATACTGGCATAAAGTAAATGCTCAATAAATGTTTGAATGAATGAACCAATGACAGAGTAAGACAGCACAGGAGTGAGAAACCATACCAGACATAAAAAAGAACAAAAAGTAGAAAAACAAGGGACTACAGACTAGCACTGAAAATAACAAAATGCCTTTAACAATTTATTGCAGGATTAAATGTATGGACAGATAAATTAGTTCTAAAGTCTCTCAAGCCGCATAGAGGTTGGAAGGATTAGAAGAGAGAAAACTATTGGGATGGATGGTAGCATTGCTTATACCGTATTTCCCCATGTATAAGACACACCCTTTTTCGAAAAATTTGGGGTCTAAAAACTGGGTGCGTGTTATGCAGTGGTTGTAGATTTTTTTTACTTGCATTTCCCACATGTGATGAAGAGTTGTATGAATTTTATGATGAATAAAATTTGACTTCAATAATTTTATGTAATACATTTTTTTTCAAATTTTGGGCCCCAAAATTAAGGTGAGACTTATACATGGGAGCGTCTTATACATGGGGAAATATGGTAATTTCCCAAAAGTGATACAGGCTGAAGACAGGCTACTTGAGATTAAGAAAGGAATGCTCACTAGTAATATAAACAGACAATGCAAGTCTCAAATGGGGGGCAATACATCTATTTAATATGCATCTGCTGACTTCCTGGCAGCCATGATATCAAGTGATCACTAAAAGAAGTTATAATAAGAACAGAGTCAAGCTGTGTATTTACCAAAACGTATGTTTAAAGCATGTCAGGTGAACTGTAGTGATCATATTAAAAGGCACTAATCAAGCCTGGGAACTTCAATAAACAAAGAACTGTCTGAACATAAAGTAATCTATGTTTAATTCTGTTGAATGTGCTACTGTGGGCACATGTTTATTCATTCTATTAAGCAATCTTTTTATTTACTTTTTGTTTTTAAGTAACTAAACAGTTTCAGGCCACTGATTATATACATCACAGACCACCTGGGCAAACTGCAGGAGTGTGTACTTGTCCCGTACTACAACATACACAATCTGTGCAGAAAAGGGGTAGCTTTAATCTAACAAAGTTTAGTGACTGAGTGTATAAACATTTGTCTTAAAGGGCTTTCTTTCAATGCTCTCCTTCAAAAGAATTCTACTGTATTATTACATTATAAATAATGAAAGCATTCTTTCTAAAAACTTCACATATCATGAAATGATGGAAACAAAGGCCTGACAGACATCATTGTTTTCATGCACCTATGACTGCAGTAAGAAAACTTCCCTGAAAGTGTCTGCCAAACATGCTTAATCCTCACCTGCAAAACTGTTCAATCCAAGCTTAGAGCTTGCCTTCCTGAATAGCGGCTTTGTTAATGGGGTCAGGGGCCCAGAATTGACTGGGAAGACAGAATCTAATTTTCTTGGTAGCTGATACAATAAACGTAAAAAAAACCCAAAAACTGGAATGCAGTACCAAGTGTATTTAAGTAAAAAAAATATGGATTGGAAATTAATGGAATCAAGACCAATCTGAACTTTAAATATGTTGTAAACAAAGTTTACTCCTCCGTTGGGCGCAACTGGTCTCACAGATTTATTGCACACAAAGATGCCACTATGAAATACGTCATTACTGTACTAAGTCACAAACATGACTGGTGGTAAGTTACAGTAGAGGGGGAAGATACGGAAGCGATGAGTCACAATACTTAACTGTTAGATATTTGAAAATTTGTGTGCAATGAATCTATGAGAGCAGTTGCGCCCAGCAGAGGGTTAACAGAATACCATTGTAAGTAAACTAAGATGATATTGACACAATTTATTTCTTAAATTATAAATGGCATTAAACTAATTTATCAGTTAATATATGCTTTTAAAATGATTCAAAACAGTTTCTTAAGTACATCAATATTCCTCTGTTGCTTGTTGGATCTATATATTTTGTTTGGTAAACCGTTTTTTTTATAGACAGCAAAAAGATAAATGTTAATAAGCCCAACTTCCTCTAAACTATGCCAAATTCTGAATTAGGGAGTTTCTAATTAATGGGTTTAATAACAAAATTCTGAAAAATTCTTGAAACATTTCCTTGCGTGTCAGTTTAAATGTCTTCAAATTATAAAATCTTCTATGCCTAATGAGAGGTTTTCATAATGTTAAGTAATTCTCTAGGGCCAAGAAAACAGCTGAATTCCTACATGCTCTGTTCTATCAGTCAAAAATCAATGCTCTGGTCTAGGAATGATTTACTCCTGGGAAATTACACACAGTACACATCAGGTCATCCATTAACGACTTTAAAAATGAGGACTCAAGTGTGCATTAAAGGGAGTATTTGTGCCAAATGAGTAACATAAAGTCAAGTTCTCAAGGAAAACTTTCAAACCAAAGTAGCTAAAGGGAACAAAAATATCACATTTCTGCAGCAGCAGGGGGTGGGGAGACCTTAAAACTTACTTTCTCAGTTAACTAATATAGCATGAAGAAAAACAATTACTTAATTTCAGTCACAATTGATCTTTGACATGAAGCATATCAATAAGAATGGATGATAATCAGTCATACCTAACGAGCAAGGTGGATGTACAGAGCTTGCTAAACATTAGCCAGCTACAACCAACATACAAAAATAATTACATCTGCAGGACAAATACACTTACAGAATTAAGACCTTTCAAACTTCAAGTTGATAATTCATGTCATGAAAAGAAATTACACACATTCAGTGTGTTCTGCTATAATGCTTGTGTTGAAAAAGTGAATTTCGCTGGCTGAGTGGCTCAGTTGGCTAAGAACTTGCTCAATTCCCGGGTTCGATTCCCGGCCTGAGCTGAACTGCTGCCAAGCTGCCAACAAGTGGCAGGATAACTCAGCCAAAAAAAAAAAAATATATATATATATATATATATATATATATATATATATATATGAATGACTGTTGGAAAAGTCATGACGTATTTTTCTGTTTTTTGTTGTAAATATATATATTTATATATATACATAAATATATATATTTATACTATTCCTTTTTACTACCTGATCCTAGTAACAAAAACAGCTATTTTACTAATTTTCCCAATTAACTTTTGACCTTTGACTACTAATCTTCCTAATTTTTTGCAATTCTTTTGGTAACCTAGAACTATTGTTAAATGCTTCAGGTTTGCACACTGCTATCTTCCAGGGTAAACCTTTTCATTCTGTATTTCTATCTTTGAGCAACTCATATAATTTCCATATTACTCCACCTACTAAACCAAATAGATCAAATTACTTATACTTGTTAAAGTCACAACATCATTTTCTAATGTCAATTGATATTATATAATGACATTATAACATCCTGGAAGGATTTTGTCTGAACTGTAATCTCTCATTTTACAAATGTGGCAACAGATCTAAAAAGTGTGTCACACGTTTATCTACACCGTCTTCAGCAGAGTGAATACACACAATAGCAATTATTTCACACTGAAGTATGAAATTTACCAAAATGCCATTAGAAATGTTACAAAAACTCTTAATAGACACAAGCTAGATCAATGGGGAAGTTAATTTAAAAGCTCTCTGAAAATTACTGAATACAGTGAATCAAAGGAATATCTTATAAATAATTAATGTTCAAATAAAACCCCCTCAAACACATATCACCAAATAAATTATTAAGCATGGATTCTACTCACCTCCCGTATGACTTGCTGCAACTCATCTTGCTCCACATTTTTATGCATTTCCTCAGCAGTTGGCGTTAATGGGGTTTTGCCATACCCTTCTTCCACTTCAGATTTAGGTCCTACAGCCTCTGAGCCTTCTTCAGCTGCTCCCACTTCCTCAGAACTTTCCACTTCTGGAGGTGTCTGCACAGAGCCCATTCTAGAAGGAGCAGTTGGCGTTAGGGCCACAGATGCTCGGAATACTTTCTTGCTTGATCCCCGACGGGTCTTGGGTTTGCCTGCTGAGTCACTAGAGGATAGTCCAGCTCTTCTATTAGCGGGAGAAGAACCAGAACACGCAGACGATGACTCTGATGTTGCTTGGGAGAACACAGATTCTGAGCTCTCTCCAGGAGGAATATCAAATCCAAGTCCCAGGCCCAATTCAGATTTCAGATATGACTGTTCCCTCATCAGTTCAGTGACCTGTAGATCAGAAAAATTATCATTCTTCTCTCTTGAAATTAAGATTGATAGTTCAAATAAGTTAAAATCCTAGCTGTGATTACTGCCCCAAATCACTTAACTTGTAAAGACATGATTCTAATTCATTCATTTAGTAACTACTCAATTTCATTTGCAAAAATGGCAAAGAAAATTTATATTCATAGTGAGATCAAGCCACAAGATGTGTAGCTATTGGGTTGTTGGGCAAGTCATGATGCATTTTTGCATTGAAAAACATATAACTTTCCCGACGACGCAATAGAGTATCTAGTTGGATGAAATATTACTGGTTACCACATGGGTGTCCAAATTACTTTTAAGGAATAGTAACGAGTGAAAAACCAAATAGCTACTTATAATACTTTCGCCCCAAAGTGAACAAATTTGTTTAAAGTATAATAAAAATCAGACTTTTGTTCAAAAAGTAGTTAATCTTACAGATCCAACTATCTAAAAGGACCTGGAATCAAACTTTAAAAGAACATTTCCCCTGGCATATAAATTACATATTTTTTATGATGCATTACCTTCTTTAGGCAATTAATATAAATCACTATTGCAATTAACTGGCTTTGTAGTGGCCTAAGATGGCAATGGACTTTCAGAAATGTCAAACTCACTTCCAATTTAACTAACTTATCAAATTGTGTATTAAAAAAAAAATTCCTTTCCAATAGGAAAATTGTGTCTTCATGAAATGCTATATCATTCTCTTGCCCAGCGAGTTAAAAGGAGAGAGGCTTACTGGTTCCATTACATTCAATGGAGAAGGGCATGACAAGTTATCAGCGCTTCTGCTGCCACACAATCCCTGAAAAAGTAAGAACAATACACATAGATGTGCGTGTGAATATATTTTTTCAAACTGCAACTATTTTACAATAAAATGAATTAGCTAATTATTTCCCTGAAGTATTCCTTCATGTCACAAAAGTTACTCTCAACTGTCATGGGATCCTATAAAATGTATTATTGCAACTGAAGGTGAATAGATGTTCAGATTCTCTGCTGTTACCAACACACATTTCTCAGAATAATGGATACAAACTTTTTATGGAAAAGTATGTTCATCAGTGATCTAGGATATTCTTATTCTGTGCTACTCATATCTATGTACACACATGCATTCTTATTCTACTGATTCTACTCTGTATGTGTGCGTATTTATGTGTGTGTGAGTATCCATCCTTTATTCTTAACAAAATTAAATATGTTGTTCAAGTAACAAAGAGAAGTTCAGAAGTTCACTATTTCAACATTTCAAAAAATATATTTTACAACTGCAAAGATAGCAAAAATAAGAATAACTGTTAAAGTACAAATTTCATGGAAAGGAACGTGAGAAATACAAAAATTTGTACAAATAAAGAGCAACAGTGTTTCTTTTGAATCTCTTGGTTGTATACATGTTTTCTGCCTTTTTAAAGATCTCACACGATTCATTAAAAAACATAAAGAATAGAAAAAAAAAACAAAATAAAAGTTTAAAGAGAACAGTTATTTATTCAAAGGCAAGGAAGGGAAAAAACCAGAGTGAAATATATATTTGTGTTCTCTGTAGTTATATAGTGATTAAAATCTAAATTAGTCACGCCTTAACCCATTATCATTTTTCCTTTAAAACCCCTAGACTTTTTTATTGCTTCTTATTCTCATTATTAAAAATTATGATTAAAATTTTTCAATGTATTTCTAAATATACAAGAAAATAATCACAACATGTATTTAACTGATTTGCGGGAAAGGCTCCTTAAAAATATCCATGCTATTAATGCCATTAAAACCAGTGTTTTTAAACTAAGGCATCTGTCCATGTTATATGGAATGTTATGAACAGATCCTCACTGAAAACTAGTGCCAAGCCCCAGGGTGCCTCACGTACCACAAGTGCTGAGGAGCGGAAGGCGGAAGGTATATGCGTGGCTCGCAGCTGCTCCTCCAGGCCCAGCAGACGGTCTTCCAGCTGCAGCTCCAAGTCTTCAAGCTCCATTCGGACTGAATTTCTCAAACTCTGGAGCTGATCAACTTCATACCTATGGGTATGGTGACAGGCACAAGTATTCACAATTCTCTCACCAGCTACCAGAAGGAATTAAAATTCCAAGTTCTATAAATGGGCAACTGCACTATGTGTAACCACCACAACAAATGGTCTTTCTTCCTCTACTCTTTATCACCAATATCCCAGACACTAAAAAATACATTACCGCCACTACCTTCCTTAATACATTGAAGGCAGAGATGTTTACTTAGTAAAACATTATGCCTAATTTTATTTACACTGACTCACAAAATAAAGGATGCACAAAAAAATACCCTAGCACAAAAAAATACCCTAGCTTTAAAAAACAAAACAAAACAAAACTTGACAATGATTTTTAGAATAAAAAATATTGAGTTACATTAAGACAAAATGAACTTGTACCTCTCCTCCTCAGTCATATGATGATAAACCATGGTTTGCTGACGCAGCATTGCCAATTCTAAATCCATCATTTGCGTTCTAAACAAATTCAGGTTCCGCCTCATTACCTGGAGCTCCTGAAAAGTATTCTAAAATACAATATAACAAAATTATACTTCTAAATCACACAAATTATTTTGTAACACAAAGACTTAAGTAAGAACTTACTTCATAAAGAGGTAGAACAGATGATTTCGGAATACTATATGGAGCAGCAGCAAGATCAGGTCCTCTCATCATAGGGTACTTCAAAAAAGAGAAAGTATAGTTACAAATCTACGTTAAAGTGAATACTTCCACATTATACAAGGTATTAAAAAGGCGGAATTTGAGGCCTTCATATTTTTTTCTTTGAGGCTCCTCCAAAAAACCGAAGAAAAACTTCATGTGGTAAGCAAGGACCAAATAAAATCAGTCCCTAATGCTACCTGTTATTCCTATGTGTTTCAGGTATAAGTCTATTTGGAATGAGGCTGAGTCAAAGGAACATTTATAGTTCATCTGTGTCTTACAGGATTTTCCTCTTGTCTTGAGAAAGTAAAAAAACAAAAACAAAAACAAATGGAGACGCCATTAGCAAATGTCATTCTTAGATAACAGAGACTATTGACTTGGATGGAAGAGTAGCAAACAATCATCACACTCATTCTTAGACATTTGAGCTTCTACCATGTCACTATTTCATGCAGTAAAGAGAAAAAGACAAAAGGAAGATAAAAGGCATTCCAAGCCATCAAGTGTTCTCACTGTGTAAGAAAGAAATAAAAGAAATTTTTTAAATTATTGTAATATTGGGGTGCAGGGGAGTAGTACTATGATGGAAATAAAAATCTAGTTTAGGGGAGTAAGTGTTCCCATCAGTAGTGACACCTGAACTAAGCCCTAACTGTAACAGGAGTTGGTCAGGCAAAGAAAGGCAAAAATGGGGCATTCCACATAGAAAATTAAAGTGGCACATGTAAAAACAGATACCTAGAAACACACACCTATTTAGAGACCTGCACGCAGTCCAAAGTGGCTGCAGCACGCACATAAGGAATGAGTCTGGAGAGATAGGCAAGGGCCAGGTCGGAGACTCTCTATCTACTGAGGTGGAGGTGGGGAAATTAATTAGCTGAGCTACTGATGGACATCTAAGAGCAGAAGACCATACCTAGAGCAGAAGAACAATCTGGCGTAGAAAGAAAGGCGCACCATGGGGGTGCAGGGAGACAAGGCTCTGGGAATCCCCAGCTTCACATATTACAGACGAAAGGTTCAATGTCTCACTCATTGACAGAACTACATTTTGTAAAGAGGAAGAAGCGTCTATATTCTGGTTAGACTGAAATTCGTTAGGAGACAACTGTAATGAGGATAAAATTTATATTTAAAAGAAGGTATATTTTAGTACATAACTTGAAAAGTTATAACTTGAATTTTTACTTTCAAAGCGGCTTCCTTCCTGTCTAGTATGTTATCATGATAAGAGATCTGTTATATACATTCTAGGCCTCCTGGCTTTGAGCTGAACACTCTGATCACTACATTACACTGTCATTTTCTTCATTTCCCTAACCGTCTGAATGCAAGTAGTTCAGAGAGAGATTTAGAAAGAAAACATAAAGTACGAAAGGCAAACCTAGAGATAACTTGCTCATTTTCAAAGTTTTTAGAAATTATTTCTGGCCCACTCACAGATATGAGAGCGATGACTTTAAAAGCGACAAGACACATCGACTACTTTTATTCAAATTCACGCTTTACCTGCTTTTTTCTTTTCTGGGGCAGTTCCAGTCTTTGAACCCAGTGGAAGCGGACTAATTCTGTGCCAGAAGACCAGCATCAGGAATCAGAAGGTGAAGGGGGAAGCTTAGTCAGAAAGCTACGAGCAGAACCAGGAGAACACACGGCGACACAGAAGCTAAGAGGAGAAAACTAAGAAAGGAAGAGGCGGGGAACACTGTCAAACGGCAGAAAAAAGGAAAGAAAGTGCTTGAGAGGGAAGATTTTTTAATAATACGGGCGACTTGACTAAGACAGTGGAGGAGAGACTAAAGAAGGGAGGATACCTAACAGGCAAATCTCTTCTCTAGAAGTGAGAGATTATCAGCAGAGAAATTAACCTTGTTCGGGATTAGTCACAGCCTTTCCCCTGAGACAGGAGGAAAGGATACAGAGGAGGGAAGGGAGAGGTAAAGTTTAGGCATGTAAGAAAACAAAGTTGGGGCGTTGCATGCCTGACGGGTCTTAGCTTCTCAGTGAATTAAGAGGTGTTCAGATCAATAACAATAAAAAAAAGTTAAGCAAGATGTATTTTTTTCTCATACCTGTGAAAGATTCTGCAGTGAATTTCTAATATCATGCAATACTCTTCGTAACTGCATTTCGATGGCAGAAGGCGGGTTGGCAGAGCACGCCCGGTAAGGATAGGCAGCATGTCTATGTGAGTAAGAACACCCGAAAGGGGAAGTGAAGGAACTACAGGAGGCGCCGGATATGTTGGGAACGCTGTGGGTGCTCAGAGTTCTCATGTGCTCACACAAGGGCCTTTCCTGCCACTCCGAGTGCAGGGAGTGGAGGGAGCAGGTGGACCGAGAGATCGGTGCTGGAGCATACAGTGAACAGGCAGGAGTCCTTCGATTATGACACTCCTCCAACTGGTTCGCGTCTCTCTGAGAGGCTTCTTCTTTCTTCACAGATGATGGAGAGATGAAAATAGTGGATTTAACTAAAGACTGACCATCATGCTCAACCACCTCTTTTTCTAACGTCTGTTCCTCTTCAGATGTGTACTTATAGGTGAAGGAAGGTGGACTGCATCTGGTCTCTTTTCCTGGGGACAAGCGAACATTAACAGAGGACACGACCCTTACTGGGCTCAGCAAGGTGGTCGGTAAAGACTGCGACCTTCTTAGAGGATAGCCAGCTTTTGCAAGCAAGTACCTCTGTTTTAACAGATCTTTCGATTTTATCAAGCTACGCCCTACTCTTTGATTAGACAGACCACATATCTTCATTTGAGCTCTTTGCAAAGCTGTAGTAACTTTGTCCACCGAAGAGGGAGGCCCAGTTATATTTTCAGAGCCTTTCTCACTGCATTTTGCTTCAAGAGAAGCCAATGACTTGAGAATATGGTGTGTGGTATACTGGACAAATTCGCATTCAGTGCTTTTATCCACATCGCTTTCAGCACTTGCTTCCCTCGGCAGTTCCACTGGCTGTGCTGGGGACAAATCCACTTCTATTTCAGTAATTTCAGTAGCGTGATGCCCTGCACCACAGGTGGACTGTTTATTTCCTGTATTCTGAACAGTCTCGCACTGGGGGGAATCCTGGCTATCTGACCCCCTTTTGTCAGCAACTGTCTCTGCCTTCTCTTCTCTTCCCTTCTTAAGAGGAACGAGAGACTCCTCCTCCGATTCATTAAAATAAGGCTGGTCTTGTGCTGTTGGTGTGACAAGCTCTTCACCAAATGTGACTGTTGTCTCACTGTCACAGCTATCAGCACTACTCCCCATGGCCTGCAGGGGCTCCTGAACCTGAGAAAGGAAAACGGAGAAGGATGGATTCAAACAAGTATCATTAACGAACTACCAAAATGATGCGACGCTTCTACACTTGGAGGGTGTCCCACCTCGGCTGTGGCCCTGGTGCTGCTCAAAACTGCTTTCACTGCCCCAGTCAGCAACTCCTCCACTTTCTCACCAAGATTATTCCAGGCCTTTACTATTTTCCTTGAATCCCCTTTTCAACACCCATCTCCTTTTCTTCCAACACATGACACTGACGCAGAGAAAATGGACAAAAAGTTCTTAACTTTCTTCCCCAACACCCACAAAGTTCCCCATAATTCTCCCCATCATGCCCTCCTCTCCGTTCTGAAAGGAAACTGTGTCTCTTTTTTCAAAGCGAATGCCTCCAACCTATACTTCTGATCACATCCTCTCCAGGACTAGGGTATTTTCCCAGTTTCATCCCCGATTTTTGTGCATCCAACTCTCTGCTCTTAGAGCCCCTTCCATAACAACTTCCCTAAGTCACTGTCCTATGAAAAAGACAAAGACCTACTGCCACTAAGCTATCATCCTTATTTGAAAAACCAGTCAGCATTTACTTCTTCTCTTTCTTATCATCCATTTACTCTTCAGTCATGTTGTTGCCTCATATACTCCATCAGAACTATTTATTCAACTACGCAATTTCCACATAACCAAACTCTCATGTTTGCACTCCGATGGCCATAGTCTTCCTTTAAAAGGTTTCTCCTCCATCTCCCAATTTTTCTGACCACCAGATTATTCTTTCTGTGTCTCTTCAAATATTTCTCTTACATGTCTATTCCTTATATGCTATGTTTATAAAGGTTCTTTTGGGGGTTTTTATCTTTAAAATTTGCATATAGGTGTCTTAACCACTTTTCATGCATATTCTGTGTACTGCACACATAGACTATAAGCTCATTGAGAATAAAGATGTGCCTCTCTTCTGGATTATCTAACATACTCTAGCATAGAAGTTATATAACATTAAGCAAGCTATGGATCCACACTTAATATTAGTTTTATTAAACAAACAATTATTGTAAAATACTAAAATACGATGGTAAAAAAATAAGAAAAATAACAGACAGAATAGGTTTATGATTAAAATAACCTGTTTACTGGTGGTCCCAAAATAAAGAAGCTTTTTCTGTTTTTAAATATTCAGTCAGAGAGAGATGAAAAATTAGTGATACCCAAAATTTATAGTCAAATGCTTAGATTACATCTGCACCCCAGAAGAAGTTTTATTCTTACTATTATTTGAAAAATAAAGATAACACAGACTCGACCTTGCAATATATTGCTACTAAAAAAATTACCTAAAATATGAAGACGTTAATCATAATGCCTACTACAATAGAAAGTGTTACCTGAAGATGATTCACAGAGATGCAGTCTGTTGAATCTTCAGCAAAACCACTGCTGTCAGAATGCTGGCTGGCAGTTCGTAAGAGGTGATCTACCGAAAGAAATGTAGTTTCACAAAGCTGCTAAATATAGCTTCAATGAGAACAATTTTGTTACAGATCTATGAGTCCCAACAGATATATAATACATAACATTGATTCTCTCTTAGAAAAGTATGCATCACTTAGGCAAAATTGTGGCTTCAAAGCACAGGAGACAACTCAAATTCCAACAAAAACTGAATCAGATCTATCAGAAATTCTCAATGTCCAGCTGCTAATTAAGCTCTAATTATTATTATATATTTTGGTAAATCCAATTAATTTCTTATCATTGGAAGACAAGTGGTTGAAACAAAAGACCCAAAGTAACATTTCCATTATGTAAATATGTCAAGTATTTAAAGTGAAATTAAAAGTTTAAATGTAATGTGTAAAAACTTCTATTATCTTCCTAATAAGAAAATAAAAATATATAGCACATATCAGTGAAACCATAAGGGTTTTTAGTTTTTCTGACTTATTTCACTTAGCATAATAATCTCAAGATCCTCCATGTTGTCACAAATTGTACAGTTGAGACCTATGTAACTTTACTAACAATTGTTACCCTGAAAAACTTTAATTAAAATGTGTGTGTGTGTGTGTATAAAATTCAAGCCAATAAATTAAATAATCTGAATTCAAGGGTACCTAATGTCTGATGTTTCAAATGATGCAAACATTTATTAACTTATGAAACAATTTTTTCATAACAATTGCATAAAACTCAAACACGTTCAACTAGTACATAGTATTGTTAATCTTATAAAAACCCTGTTTAGTTTTTGGCCTCAAAACTCTAATTCCCGGTTAGTATAACCTAAAAAAAAATGTTTTAAGTGTGTAAAAAAGGTCAACTAAGCATAGCAAACGTAACCACACTCCCATCCACGCTACAAGTAACTCAGTGGGAGAGGCTTTAGAAGCATTACATTTACTAAGGGAGATATTTCATGAAATAATCAAGTTCTGCAGAACTTCGAAAGCAACAGGCTTAAAGTGTGCTGACCAAATCTATTGGGTTGTTGGAAAAATCATGACGTGTTTTTGCAACGAAAAACATAGAAAAAATACGTCATGACTTTTCCGACAACCCAGTACATTCAAAATTTGAATGACAGAAATAAACTCCATAATATGTTTGAATAACATCCAAAATCAATTTAAAGTTCACTTGACTTTGAAAAATATCCCACTGTAGCCTCAGTTTCAACCTAGAGCATCATAAAATGGAGTCATTTTTTTCTCATTAAAAATTTAGAACAATTCTGTAGTAGTGTTTGGAAATTAACAAAACTGCATAATGAAACATAAGGAATTGAACCACACCCTTGATAATCCAGGTAAACTAGAATAATTGTGAAAATACTTGGAATAGCTGTTGGTTACCATAGGTACTAATTTTGCATTACATTAATTGATGATTAACATCTTAAGTTACAGCAATTATCACGGTAATTATGTGTTTGCATGTCTTTTTTTTTTTTTTAAACTACACTGCAAGCATTCTGAAGGCAGGAACCTTATTTATTTATTTATTTATTTATTTATTTATTTATTTATTTATTTATTTATTATTTTAGGAACCCTATTTATTCTTCTTTGTATCCTGGTATCTAGCACATGCTAACAAGAAAACAATTTGCTGAATGAATCAATAACCATCTCCTTAAAGCAACAACAGAATTAAGCAATTACTTAAAGTATTTAGAAATGAAACTGCCTATCTGGTTGGGCAAAGGGCAAGCTGCCAGAGAGCCCAGGGAAGCCTAGTGACTAGCTCTGCTCAGGTTCTCTGGTAAGATCTATTTTATCTGCCAAGGTGGACAGTCCCTGCCGAGTTCACCTCTCCGTGGTTACTTAGTCCTGTCAGAGTTCATACAGGTCAGGTCAGAGGGTAGACTGCTCAGGCTTCAGAGTAGGTGTTGGGCAGTGGAAAGAACAAGGAGGCCTGGGTACAAGTTCCTGCTTTACTACTGTAAGCACTAAGTTTTCTCACCTGTAAAATGGAATAATAATTCTCCTATCTCTCAGGGTTACTTCAGGAACTAAGTACAAAGCAGATAAAACTATTCTATAAACTATCAATCACAATCTAGGTTCTTTAGTCAGACATTTCAGTTTCACAAAAAATACTGGTCTCCACAGAAAAAGGTGGAGCTAAGAAGAAATAGGTCTGTCCTAACTGAAGAGATAAGACATTTCTAATTAACTGGGAAGTTAGAACAAACTAATTAAAGTGAAAACAAAACAAAATCTGGAAATTTTATTTGTGCAGTATCATAAAGGAACAAAACAGAACACCTGCATACTCTGCTAGAACAGAAAATACTGTTTGTCTTCTGTAATAAGGAAAATATTGCACTGCTCTCAACATATTTACTGAATGATAGCTTGTGACATGATTTCAGTCACTAATGATAGCTTGTGACATGATTTCAGTCACTAAACCTCTCGGGGCTTCAGTATGTAAATCCCAAGACTGGGTTTGAGATTCAGATCACTGTTAACTTCAAAAGTCCTATTAGTAAAGGATGAAATATTTTTATACACGCACTATATGCATTTTTACTCAAGTTATGAAATAAATATATTACTAGTAATTCTATTTCTGCAATTATGATTAATCTAAAATACCTGTATATTGCATTATCAAAATTTAACATTTATCCGTAAAGATATATGTGTTCCAGTGTTCACTGCAGCTCTATGGCAAGACATGGAAACAACCAAAGTGTCCTTTGATAGATGATTGGATAAAGAAGATCTGGTATATATACACAATGGAATACTGCTCTGCCATAAGAAAAGATGAAATAGTGCCATCTGTGACAACATGGATGGATCCTGAGATTATCATGCTAAATGAAATAAGTCAGACAGAAAAAGTCAAGAACCATTATGATTTCACTGATATGTGGGATATAAAACTGAAAGGAACAAAGGAACCAGACAAACAAAGAAACAAAAACTGATAAACATAGACAATAGTTTAATGGTTATCAGAGGGTAAGGGGGAGAGGGGTGGTAGATTAAGGGTAAAGGAGGTCAAATATATGGTGATGGAAGGAGAACTGACTGGGTGATGAATACACAATGTGATGTGATAGATAGATGATGTATTACAGAATTGTACATGTAAAACCTATGTAATTTTACTAACCATTGTCACCCCAATAAACTTTAATTAAAAAAAATTTAATAGCTATCTTCAAAAATGACTAAAACACTATGTTGTTCTCTCTTCCTCTCATGTACACACAAAACCATTTTACTGTTAAGTTATAAAAATGTGATTCATAAAAATGTTAACATTTTTACTCATGCCGCCAGAAATAAGAGACCCTATGTCAATAAGAGGAAGAAACCTAGATGTGAATACAAACCACATTCCATCATTCCTACCACAGGAAGCTTACTCTTGAAAGATCTTAAAGTAATTACAGTGTTTTTATTTAAATATATACAGTTTACCCACATCCTAATAATGCGGACAAACTGGCTAAACATATGGGATTTCAACCCTGAACAAATCAGAGAGCAAATAGCAAAGAGGTTTTAGGAAGAACTTGGAAGTTTTAAGCTATGAATCCACTCAAGAATAAGAAATATTCCCTAGGATTAAGAGTGGAATAACCAACACAAAAAAAAGCTCAAAGGTTAAAGAAACTATTACCACTTTTGACACAGGGAAAGCTGCTTTTTCCAAAGTACCCCTTGTCTACCTAGCTAAAGCAAAGATTCCTTGATGGCTGTAAACTCTGCCTTGCAGCTTAGAAACACATGCATGTATTTATGGACTTACAAGGGGACGAAAATTAACAGCAAACTTTGTTTTGTGTCTGAGCAGGACTGTAGTGACCTAGTAAGCGGAGCTCTTGTTTCTAAGTACCATATTGCAATAAAAGAAAAATTATATGCAAATTGTCTCTTATGAAGTCATTTCAGAGATCAGAAGAAAACAAACATGTAATTTCCTATTCTAGGAACATACATATGAATCTTTGCTTAAAAAAAAACAAGGGTGGTTCAGCATGTGTAAAGTTTTAAAAATAAACAGTCCTACCTTCAGTGGTCATTTTAACTTCTTTACTTCCTCTCCTTTTCTTTAAATCTCAAAACCTTTGTGACTTTAAAGATCAGGCATGCTCTTTTTGTTGTAAGTTAAATGTGAAAGAAATGGATGCAAAGGTTCTTTGGTCAATAATTAATAATTCAAGAGAACAATGATATCTACAGCCACTCACCTTTGATCCATAGTTTGAATTTAATTTAACTAGCTTTCACTATTGCTGAGATGTTAGTTTTTTTGCCACAGGCATATTCATGTATCATACCTAGGAGCCATATTTAAATAATGAAAACCCAGAGGTAAGAAAATGCAGTGTCTATTTCAGTCATAATCATGTAAAAAAGTCGGCCTGAATGTGCTGCTCTTTCTATCATTTCCCATTTAGCCCTTATGCAGAACTGAAAAATATTTAAAGTACACAGACTTGTGTAATGAGATCATTACAGAATAAGCAAGCAGAAAGTACTTTATGAGCATAGAAGTCTTCAAGAAGATACAAAACATTCAATAACCAAACCATAATGAAACATGCACACCTGTGTTCTTATTCATCTTTTTACACTTCCATGTAGTATAAACACTGATAGGTAAAACCCCTTTTCCAAGTTAACTGATGACACTCTGGTAATGTGCTTGAGATCTAGTGGATGTTGGTCTACTTACCTCTTTTTGACTTAGTGAGACCTAGCTGATAAGTAGCTGGAACATGAGGAGCTTCTCCCTCCGTACTTTGAACCTAAATAAAAATTTAAAGTAATTAAAACTTAAAGAGCCTATGACAAAAAAGGATATCTTGACACTCATTTACTAAACAAATCAACATAACTAAAAAGAGTACCAAAGCTTTATATATTTAAAATAAGCAAGACATCCTATCTTGAAATTGTTAGAATGTCCCAAATCTCAATTTTATAATCTGTTTTACAGTAAACAAGAGTGCAAGTCTGTAGCTAGCTAAGAAAAAGGACTGTATGAATAAACTACCTCATTGAAAAAAATTGCTATTTTATGAAAAATAGATCCATAGTAAAACGTTCTGCTTCAAATGATAAACTTCCAAGTGAAAGGTCAATCCCAGCAGAAATGCTGAGTGATACACAGCAGAGGGAAGTGTAAGTCCTGCATCTTTGAAAAATGATACACCATACTCCCATTGCAAAATTTTATAAAATCCCACAAATTTTCTGGTATCAAAATCACTCATGTGTGGTTTCCAGTCAAAATGGTGCAGTAGGTAAACACTGTGCACCCCTCTACCCATGACCACATCAAAATTACAACTAGACTACAGAACCACCACCATTGAGAACTGCTTGAAATCTAGCTGAACAGAAGTCCTATAACTAAACATATACAGAAGCCACCATGAGACTGGTAGGAGGTGTATAGACGCAGAATGGGCTGGGGCAGCACCCACGTGTGGCAGTTAAAAATCAGGAGAGATATCATGGCTTCAGAGGTTTTCCCTAAGGAGTGAGGGATCCCAGGCTCACATCAGGCTCCCCAGCCCAGGGTTCCAGTGCCTGAAGTCCCCGTAACTTCTGGCTGTGAAAACCAGTGGAGATTGTGGCTGAGTAAAATGAAGGGCAGCTGCAGTCCTAGGCGTTTCTCTTAAAGGGCCTGTGCATAGACTTAGTATGCTTGCTGATGGACTGACTTGCTCTGAGCCCCAGCACTGGTCAGCAGCTCGAAAGGTGCCAGGGACATACAGAGAGGAACTGAATTGTCTAACTTCAGGGCACAGCTGAAAGGGCAGCTTTCTCCCAGACAAAAGTGCTGGCAGAAGCTACTGTTCCTATGTCGAGCCCTCCCCCCACCCACTCTGCACTCACTAGTGGGTGCCAGATATGAGTTTCCAACAACCTGAGTTTCTAACACTCTTTGCCCAGCCCTGGTGATTCCCTGATAGCTTGACTCACCCAAATTGTGGGCCGTACCCAAGCCACTTCCAGTGACTTTTCCATACAAATGGCCTGTCTTGGCTCATGCTGCCAACATTCCTAAAATCTCTCAAAGGTGCACAAACCCTAAACAAGCAAAGCAGCATCTGGCCTCAGAATGCCCTGTGCCTCTTGCTATGCAGCCCCAAGCTTGGCACTAGCCACAGCCAGACTCATTTCACAGCTTAGCCTCTCCTGGTCACCTCCAAGCCCAGCATAAGTGGCAACCATCTACAGATCGCTTTGTAGCTCATACCAAGTGGCCCAGGCAGAATGCAGGCAGTGGCTAAACTTGTCCTGCACCAGATGCCCTCCTTAAGAGATCCCCAAACCAATACACCCAGTGGCCAGCTTCAGACAACACCAGAGCATGACCAACCACCTCCACAAACAACATACACAAAGGACTGACTCTGCAGGCACCAGAGTCCTGCTAAAGTGAATCCTGACCTGAGTCAGAATCCTGCTCTGTAGGGTCAGCCCCTGCACAACAGTTCCTTCACTGTAGTCATTGCCAGTCCTCACGACCAATCAGCCTGAGGGTCAATCCCTCCTACTGATGTACAAACAGGAATCAAGGTTCAATTACAACAGGAGGGCACACACAACCCACACAAGGGATACACCTGAAGCACTTGGCTGAGGTGAGCAGGGAGACTGGACCACTGGGCCCATAGGGCACCTACTACATAAGGCCACTTTACCAAAACCGGGAGATGTGGCTGCTCCACCTAATACATACAAGTAGAAACAAACACAGGGAGGCAGCCAAAATGGGAGACAGAGAAACACGTCCCAGATGAAAGAACAGGACAAAATTCCAGAAAAAGAACTAAACAAAATGTAGACAAGCAATGTACCAGACGCAGAATTCAAAACACTGGTTATAAGGATGCTCAATGATCTCAGGGAGAAATTCAACAAAGAAATAGGAAACATAAAAATGGAGACAGAAAACATAAAATAGACGTCAGAAATGAAGACTACAATAAATGAAATGAAGAATACATTAGAGGGACTCAACAGATTAGATGAAGCAGAGGACTGAATCAGTGATTTGGAAGCTAAGGTAGCAGAAAACACCCAATCAGAACAGGGAAAAAAAAAAAAGACTCCAAAAAACTGAGGTCTCTGGTTTAAGGTCTCTGGGACAACATCAAGGGTATGAACATTTGCATCCTAGGGTACCAGAATGAGGAGAGACCACAAGGAATTGAGAAAAACCTATCTGAAGAAATAATGATGGAAAACTTTTCCATAACCTGGTGAAGGAAATAGACATACAAGCCCAGGAAGTGCAGAGAGTCCCAAACAAGGTGAACCCAAAGAGGCCCACACCAAGACACAACATAATTAAAATGCCAGAGGTTAAAGACAAAGAATCTTAAAAACAGCAAGAGAAAAGTAGTTATCTGCAAGGGAATTCCCATAAGACTGTCAGCTGATTTCTCAACAGGAACTTTGCAGACCAGAAGGGAATGGAATGAAATATTCAAAGTGGAAACGTAATGACCTACAATCAAGATTACTCTACCCAGCAAAGCTACCATTTAGAATTGAAGGACAGATAAAGAGCTTCCCAGGCAAAAAGAAAAGAAAAGCTAAAGGAGTTTATCACCACCAAACCAGGATTACAAGAAATGTTAAAGGGGACTTCTTTAAGAAGAAAAAAAATATCAAAAATATGAAAATGGCAGTAACTGCATGTCTATCAACTGTTACTTTAAATGTAAATGGATTAAAAGCTCCAATCAAAGACATAGGAAGGCTGAATGGATAAGAAAACAAGGCCCCTATATATGCTGCCTACAAGAGACTCACCCTCAGATCAAAAGTCACACATAGACTGAAAGTAAAGGGATGGAAAAAGATATTTCATGAAAATGGAAACAAAAAACAAAACAAACAAAAAAAGAGCTGGAGTGGCAATACTTATACCAGACAAAGTAGACTTTAAAACAAAGGCTCTAACAAAAGACAAAAGGACCCAGCAATTCCACTTCTGGGTGTTTATCCAAAGAAACCCAAAACACTAATTCACAAAGACATATGCTTCCATATGTTCACTGCAGCATTATTTACAATAGTCAAGATATGAAAGCAACCTAAGTGTCTATCAACTGGTGAATGGATAAAGAAGTGGTACATATATACAATGGAATATTACTCATCCATAAAATATAATGAAATCTTGCCATCCGCAACAGCATGGGTGGACCTACAGGGTATTATGCTAAGTGAAATAAGTCAGACAGAGAAATACAAACGCCATATGATTTCACTTGTATGTGGAATCTAAAAAACAAAATAAATGAACAAACGAAACAGAAACAGACTCACAGATACAGAGAACATTTTGATAGTTAACAGCTGGGAGGGGGATTATGGAGGTGGGAGGTGGATGAAAAAGAGGAAGGGATTAAGAAGTACAAATTGGTAGTTGCAAAACAGTCATGGAGATGCTGGATATAGCATAAGGAATATAATCAATAATATGGTAATAAATCTGTATGGTGTCAGATGGGTAACATTTACTTGGGTGATCACTTCATAAGTTTTATAAATGTCTAATCAACAAGTTCTACACCTGAAACTAATATAATATTGCATATCAACTGTAATTGAAAAATAATTTTAAAAAAGTGTCAGTAATAGAGCTCTAATAAATATAGCCTTGCTTTTCCCAATACAAGCATTGTGATCCCTGGCCCCCACCCCAAAATCACTCTGTATAAGACTTCTTTGTCCTGACATAAATGTTCTTTTAAGATAATTTGAGAGTTGTAAGTGGAAAAGGTTTCATTACAGAACGAAAATGCTGTAAGTTCTTAACCATAAATCCTCCCTAAAAACTCTGTTCAAAGAAGGTATCAGACCCACAAACATTGTCTCTTTACGCTGTCTTTTTCCTCCCATCTGCACAACTACGTAATTTAGGAATTTTCAGATTCCTTCTTCACTACATCCACCCCCAAAATACTCTATAACATAACTAACTCTATATTAAACATTTGGCCGGTGTGTGTGTGTGTGTGTGTGTGTGTGTGTGTGTGTGTGTGTGTATGCGCACGCGTGGGGGGGGTACGACATTAATTCCCAACACTTTATCCTATAATGATTAGTATTTAAAAGAATAAATAACATCCTAGTAAATGTGGGCAAACTAGTCAAACATATGGGATTTCAACTTTGAACAAATCAGAGAACAAAGAGCAAATAGGTTTTAGGTAGAACCCTGGTATTTTTGAACTATGAATGCATTCAAGAACAAGAAATATTCCATAGGAATGAGAGTGGCATGACCAATATAAAAAAAAAGAAAGTTCAAAGGTTAAAGATACTATTACTCGGGCTGGCCGAGTGGCTCAGTTGGTAAGGAGTGGGAGCTCTGAGCAACGGGGTCACCGGTTCAATTCTCACATGGGCCAGTGAGCTGCGCCTGAGCTGAGCTGCCAACAGGTGGCAGGATGGCTCAGCTGGGGAGAGCATGTGCTCCTAACAACAAGGTTGCCGGTTCGACTCCCACATGGGGTGGTGGACTACGTCCATCTGCAACTAAGATTGAACACAGCACCTTGAGCTGAGTGGCCGTGAGTTGCTTACAGGCAGCCGGCTGGAGACTGGACTTGGAGCTGAGCTGGCTGCACCCTCCACAACTAAGACTGAATGACAACTTGGCTGTTCCCCTTCCCCAATTCCTCAACACTGTTCCCCTACCCAATTCCCCAATAAAATATTGGGGAAAAAAAATACTATTATCCAATTTAAGAATTGGTCTGACTTGTGCTATCTTTGTTCTAAACAGTTCCATGAATCCAAGTTTATGAATCTTTTGAAAACTGAAAGCACACTGGCCATTTAAAACCATCCCCTAAAAATCACATATAAAATACTTTCTACTCTTCTTTGTTATTACTGAAACATTACAATATATTCTTCAAAGCAGCAGACATGAGTTAAACAGGAAAACCATTGTTTTGTGTGCAAGGAAACAAATGCATTTTCTTTTTATATTCAACAAAGAACCTATTATTAGTCTCTATTCAGGCCTAGCCTACTTCAAAGAGTTTTCTATAAAGTAAATATCAAACAGACCAGAAAATAGAAAAGAAATACAAATGTCCCTTTAATTATGTTCTAGGAATCTCAATTTAGGCACAGTATTATGATAAAACAAATTATAATCTCTCATTTTTAAATGCAGAATTATCACAATTCTTTTCCTTAGATTTATAAAATATGTCACAAAAGAACATGGCTTTAATTAATATGTATCCTCAATATTCTAATCTTTAAGATGCTTCTCTATGGCAATCATTCAATTTACTCTCTCTCTCCATTCATTATAAACCCCATAACTAATTGAAAAAGGCCCCTTAGAGAGAAAAGGCTTTGAGAGTCATATTTTACTAAAAAAACTACTGAATCCTTTTGCCTACTTACTCAGCAAAATCAGTACTATCAAATGTTAGTGAGAGAAAAATGCTTCCTCACCTGTAAAGGAAGAAAACTAGAAAATGAATTCTAAGATCTCTTCCTGTGCTAGGTTATGAGTCTGTAATTCGTTATAAATTTTTATCTTTAAAAAAGACCTTCCAAGTTTTAAACACATACATACATACATATGATTTACTTTTACTGTCAGATAAATTAAAAAACAAAACTAACTTATGGTACTGGTGTATATGTCGTGTTGAGTTCAGATTCTATTGCAGACACAATATTTGCCTTCAAAACACATACAGTTAAATTTGAAAGGTCAAAGGGACAACTTAACTGTCAAGTGTCTGTCAAGTTCTGCTTCCTCTAACATTTGGGGACATTTTAAACTCAGGCCAATAAATATAATAAAAGGAATCCTTAAACTTAATGGCTAAATAAGTATACTAAGTCCTCATTTAATGTTGTTGATAGGTTCTGAGGCTAAATGAAACGAGGTATAACAAAACCAAATTTACCATAGGCTAGTTGATATAAACAAGAGTTAAGTTCCTATAGCATCTCATCAACATTATAACAAAACAATGTAGAATGAAACTATGTTAATCAAGAACCCGCTGTAATAAAGTATATTAGTTAAATCAATAGTGTGAAGACAGGATTAGAAACACTTAGCAAAACTTCCAAAAAAATTATGTATACTTCCAATAATACCTATATTTGATTTATACAGTGAGGAGATACAACAACTTATTTATAGAAATATATATATATATATAAAAGTTCCCCTTCCTCCAACATTTAAGTATAAAAAATTTTTCCTTTATACCTAAAAGATGAACAATTGCTTATTGAGTAGGATCACTTTGGTTTAACTATGAATCATTCATACTATTAATCTACAGCTCTAGAGAGTTACCTTGATGTATTTATTCAAAATAAATCATTTCAAAAAGCACATAAAAATTATCCAGGGAGTCATTAAGAATTCGAAAACTCAAGAGTAGAATTTTACAATTTTAGACACACTGAAACATTTTAAATAGTCCACAAGACATTTATTATAAAGCAAACTGACTTAATTGAAAATAGTATCTGTGTTTTTTTTAAACATAAGAAATAGTCACTTTCATTCTCCAAGGCCTGGGTCATTCTTGTCATCTAAACTCTCTTTACAATTACATATTTCCTCTCTTTGCTCCTGATGACTTGTCAGATCTTACCTTCTGCCTCAATGGAATTAGGCAGCTTCACACAACAGGGGCATGTCTGCAACATTTTCTCCTACCTAGCTACCCAAAGCAGCCGGCAGTCAGTTAACCTGAGAACTGGCTTACTGAGAGAGAGAGAGAGAGAGAGAGCGCACACCCTCTAACTTATATTTATTCATTGTTTTTACAGGAAGAAAGTTCCCAATAGGAATCAAACCTCAAGGGAAAGGAGTCCAATAGAAAAATGTAACAACACACTGAATGGGATCTAAAAGTTTGCTTCAGTAAGATTGTTCTCTTCATTTGTCAGTATGATTCAAATCATGCTTGGGAGGAGAGGAAATTAGAGAAACACATTATTTCCCTTCTTTATCCATTGTTCTACAAGCTGTCTTTAAAGTTCCCAAAGGGATAAAAACAATTCTAGGAGGTTTTTAATCCACATTTCAAATATATCTGAAGAATAAGGAATCATTATTCTTAAAATTCCCCATATTTACAATGTAGCTATGGTTGACCATACATTCTTTTTATCAAAACAAAATATTTCATTATTATTCAACCACCAATGCCTGTAATCTTGTACTTAAAAAAATGTTCACTTCAATGTCACATTACTTTCTTTCATTAACTGCTTTTGCCAGCAGAGGGCGCAAAAAACCTGCAGTCTATCATTAAATGTTAACTTGCCACTTTATAAACGTTTTAAAGAACTCTTTTGTGTGTGGAATCAATAATGTTTTAACAACTACAGCTTAGAATTCAGGAATTCTAGAAATTAAAAAGCAACATGAGTGTCTTCTCAGCTGAGTCATCAATATCAGATTTGCAAGTGTCTAACATAATCTGTCTAAATTTTTATACTCTACTACTACTGTATTAAAACAAGAAATCTGACTGCCATATTTGATTGTTATAGAAGAGGGGCCCTACTGGAAGGCAAAAATTACCTTTAATTATGAGTGCTACGATAAGTTATATCAAAACAAAGTCAAAACAGAAATTGAACAAGGAAATGAAACAAAAAGGGATTTTAATTAGTCATTTTCTGAACTCATAAGAAATAAATCATATTAGAAATTAAACAGTATGAATATAAAAATATATAAAAAATAAAGATGTTTACCCAAAAATGAAAAATATTTCAAAGGGTTGTTCCTGTCCCCTTTTATTTCATTTTTTAGTTGGAATTAATGTATTCAAAGACCAGAAAAAAGGTAAATAGCTATCTATCAGCAACTGAAATTTTGTAATAATGAAAAATCTTCACTAATGAGTGATACACATTCACATAAGAGGAAGGATATTTCCAAGCAGATCAATTATCCCATTTTCTAATTCTCTACAATGACATGTGATTCTAAAACTACTGTGAGGTACAACTAAAACTACTCTGCAATAAATTTTAAAAAGAAAAATTGCATATTATATAATTCATAGTCAAAACCCTTCAGTAGTACATATATGCCTCAGTTTCCTCATATGTAAAATGAGACCACCATGGCATGCCTCACGGACTGAGAAAGAAAGTACTTCCAGGGTATATATAGTACAGTGCCTGCCACAAGGCAGGTGCTTGATATCCTTCTTTCCCACCTCAAGCTATACAGCTCCAACTCGTAAGTCTCAGCTTCCACTATTCAAAAGGTTTTAGGTGAACCTCATCAAAATTATTTTTCCCCTGTCCATAATTCAAAATGTATGTAAACTAGCAGGAATATACTAGGTTAAAAAAAAAAAAAGAGTACCCAAACACTGCTTCTGGGCTTGCAAAAATACTATCCAGTGAGCCTTTCAAACCTCTGCCCAAGCAAGGATCTCTATCCTCCCCTTCAGGTACCTATCTGTTCTTTGCAGTCCCTTACCCAAACCTATCCTCAAAGTCTTCCTTCTTCACACTTACCCTTTCCACTGAGATACATTAATAAAACCCTGCCCAAAGGCACATAGCAACTGGTGGCAGAGACAGAAAGAACTCAAACCGTTTGATTTCAGAGCCTGTGTTTTTAACTATTATGTAGTATCGACAGGAATTTGAATATTCTCAGGGCATCAAAATCTTAAACTAAGAGAGAAAGGGGGTTCAAGTTCAAGGGATGTACGAGGCAGTGGATGACAGAGCACCTAGAGGAGCTGATGACCTGTACCATTACCTTGACTTCACAGAGTCTGAGACCACTCCTTGGTTTGTGAGACACAAAACAAAAAAACCTGGAAAGTCAAAATTAGGATTTCTTCTAGTATAAATCTATTAGCCACCTTTCATTTGAGAAACACTTTTTGGCACTTTTTTTTTTCCTAAACCACTATTTGAAACAGATAACTTTTTACTTACCTCTTCCATTTCAAAGGAGTCCTTCTGCTGTACCATTATATTTCTTATGGATGGGATGGTCAGTGGTGCACAGGGCTCCTTCTCAGCTGTGGACACAAGGACAGTTTTCCCCTCAGTGCCATTCTCCAGCTTACTGTGGCTGGACATGTTGAAACTGCTATCTAACTCAGGTTTTCTAATACCAGATTCCTCACCAAGTTTATCATGACTTTGGGTTTCTTTACTTTGTTCACTTTCAGTTTCTTGGTTCAAACTTCTGTCTGCTTCCTCAGAAAGTCTATCAAGGTCAGCACTCTCCATAATACTTGCTGAACTACCTGATACTTCTTCTTTGACTGTAGCCAACATAGAAGATGAGTCTTTCTTCTTTACAATCTTTTGAGACTTTTGATCATTTTTATTGCCAATTTCTTCACTCACTGAAACATTCAGAATTTTTCCTTTTTCAATTGCTGAGTAAGGAGTAGTACCACCTTCTCCTTTCTCTGTTTTATCAACACACAAATTTAGTTTTGATAGTGTTTTCATTAAACGATTTGCAGTGTTACTTCGGGTTAAAGGTGGAGGTGAGTCTGTCTCTTTAGTAGAGGTCACTGAGGTCATACTTCCAATTCTCTGCAGGGGAGTCCCAGAGACTTGTGAATATAAAGAAGAAAATGCATTGGCCACAGTAGTAAGCACTTCAATTTGACGAAAACGGCCTACAAAGAGAAAAAAAAAAGCATTAATTATATATACGCATATACACACACACACACACACACACACACATGCGCATATATATATATATATATATATATATATATAAAACTATTATTCAGATTCCAATAACTGAACTTAGATCACAAAGTCTATGAAATTTTTTTCCTCTAACACTTCAAAATTTCTCTACATTTACTGTGGAGAGGGAGGAGGATTTTGCACTCTAAACACTAGAATTTACGTTTTTAAAAATCAGAAAGAAGCATAAGGTGTAATAGTAACACTGAATAAGAAAGAAAGGACTAGGTATTGACCTATAGTTGTGATCTGATTTTAGATCTTGGACTCCATTATCTTCCAAATATTCTCCTAATAAAGTATACATAATTATGTATTTTATACTTAATTGTGGGAAGAGTGGTTTATAGATCTCATAAAACTAATCCAAGGACCACATAAACATCCCATTTTGAGAACTTCTGGTCAACAGAGAAAAATAAGCAAAGATATAATATGAATAAAACTTACTAGGTTAGCCATTCTATTTTAGCTTTACAAAAAAAAGCACCTGAAATTGGATTCAGTTAATGGTAACAAGACCCCTCCCCTACTTCTTTTTTGAACAAAAGCAATCTGGAGATAAGTAGAAGCCAAAGATTCTACAAGTAAGTTATGCTCTACAAGGTAACAAGTATCACTCTGCAAGGTAACACTCAGTAAGTCAAGAATTGGGGAAGAAAGGAAGAAATAGGTTAATTAAATTCTATAAGTAGAATAATAAAAATTCAGAATAAGTAAAATAGCTTTGTGTTATCCTCAATAATCAAATTTCCAGTGCTGTTTCTAGAAATTAGTAAGGTTTTAAAAATAAGACCATCTTGCTATAGATGCTATAATTTTAAAAACAATATGCTAAAACCTTACTTGTTAAAGCGTAATTTGGGTTTTCTACTTCCATCCGTTGCATCTGAGCACTGAGAAATACTTTAATATCTATTCCTCTGGCAAACGATGATGAACTGAAAAATCTCGAAGGAATTTTAGAAGCAATATCTGGTTCATCTCTTCCAAACCCAAGATTATAAAGAATTTCTTCAGGATCTTCCTCATAAAGTTCCAACAATTCTGAAACACTACAAAAAGAAAAAAAGAGAAACATTAAGACATAAAATAAGTTTATAGTCCACAACACATGATAAATGAATTCATATTCCTGCTTTCCTCTGATAAAATCTTTTTCTACAGCTTTAAACCATTATTTATTTCAGCATCTTTATACACCATGTACTAAATGTGATAAAATAACCCGGTAAGAACACACTCAGTAACAAGATTCTCTAAGTGATTCCTCACCTTATTTTTTTCGTCATTTTAAGAGATTCCCAGGCAGCTAAAACACTTAGAGGAAAGATGATGAAGAATAGGAATAAAAAGATAAAAGAAGAAATGAAAAGGGAAAACACACTGGGAAGTTGGTAGAGCTTTGGTACCAAGGGACATTGTGTACAATTTGAGCCTTTCTGCTATCTTTGGCTGTCCTACCAGAGGCAATACAGGTAACAAGCTCATCTCAGGAAAGTGAGGGAGGAGCTAACTTTCATGTGGTTACTTTTCTCTAACCACTGCTACTCAGGAAGCAGGAAAAGGTGAGTATGAGTTACACAAAGGTAACTTCTTATTCTAATTCCACTGGGAATTGAACACTGATTATCCCTTCTCTCTCATACCACCTATATAATCCAAGCTGAAACTCACTGAGGAAAATAGAACTGTTAGAAATAGAACTTGAATACAATTTCTATTTGCTTCAGAGAAAATGCTCAGATTCCAATATAATAATTTGGATAACAGTCAGAGGCACATGTATTTGCTTATTTTAATATGTATTTTAAAGGTCTTCGGTTTCGTGTAAAGATAAATCACGCTTAAATATCAAGTTTTAAATTGCAAAGATTTTTTCTTATTTTTCATATCAGAGTAACTTGAGACTAACAGAATGAAGAATTTTGGAAGTAGAAGTTACTCCACTAGGGAGTTCCTCTTTCAAGTTGCTGATAGGGTTCAAAACACTCAGGAATGAATTCCAGCAGCACTATTTGTTGTTTTTTATTTAATCTTAATTTTTAAAAAAGCAGCAGCAGCTCCTGTCAGGTATGCTGAACCATGAAACACTTTGGATTCCTTTTGATTTCATACTAGTAAGCCAAACCCAGGTTTGACAAGTGGTAAGAGTAGGTCATCTACAACACAGTGTAACTGCAGCATAATTTTACACGTTACCTGGAAACTGTCCCACTGCTTTTCCCAGATCCAGTGGAATTCATACTTCTCCCTTTCTGATGAAACTGTAGTCTCCTCTCTTTGGCCAAGATATTATTGCTATAAACAAAATTAGATTATATAAAGCCTTATTTTCATAAATGTTCTTCATTTTTAAAAAGGCAGAAAACAAACACAGTTACAAACCTGTTCTCAATTTCAGCATCAGTTTCATGGAGGTGGTTGGCTACAAGTAAAAATAAATGTGGAGTACAACTGTTAGTAGGACAGTAAGTAACTACTATGATACAATTATCAAGAAAGCAAATTAACCACAATATTATTGCTAAATGCCCCAGATGCCAAACTCTTGTCTTGACTCATTAAATCTGCATCATTAAAAGTAATATACAGATCAATAAGAACAGGACCAGTAGATTTTGGAGTGTGCTTTTGTTTCTGTTAGTTAGCAAGTAAAACTACTTCTACTGAATGTTTGAAATAAAAAGACATATAAATAACCAATTAAACTTCTTTGTTTAACAGTTTAGAAATAAGTAGTTAGAAGATGTACAGCATATGCAGTACATGTGGTTCTAATTATTAAATTTCAAAGCTGTTAATAAAGAATACTTTAAAAGCAAAAACATGATTTAGCATTATTTAAGTGTGGCAATAGTATGCATCAATTTCTAATGTGATTTTTTTTAAGGCTGAAAATTCACTCCAATTACAACCATTTTTTAATGTGCGTACTTGGAAAATTTCTACTTATTTTAACATAGGTTTGTTTTTTAATTGCCTTTCAAGTTTATCCCAGACTTACAAGTTCTAAACAAATAAATGTCATTAATGTATGCTATATGATATCCTAATGATACATATAATTATACATTTGTCCAAACCGACAGAATGTACAAGACCAAGAATGAATCCTAATGTAAACTATGGACTTTGGGTAATTATGATGTTTCACTGTAGGTTCATCAATTGTAACAAATGTACCACTGTGGTAGGTGATAGTGATAGTGGGGGAGGCTAGACATAATAGGGGCAGGAAGTACATGGAAAATCTCTGTACCTTCCCCTCAATTTTTTTGTTAACCTAAAATTGGTCTAAGAAAATAAAGTCTTAAAAATTAATTCCATACTGCAAAACTACTCAGACAGATATCAAAGAGTTATTTACTGTAATACTGAAATGCATTTAAAAAGGGGTTGACAGCATGTTCAACTGTACTGAGAGCAGTACGTTTAAGCTCCTAACAGTTTGTTCCATGAGAGCAAATTAACAGTAAAAATAAAAACTAATATATTCTAGATTTTTCAATATTTACTGAAGTTCTAAATGACAGACTGATTTAAAACAGCAAAAGATCTAGGATATTAAATTCAGTGGATAATTTCACTGTTCATTGAATTACAATTTTAAAAGATTTAATAAAATCCTTAATTTTTTTTTTAATAAAAAGCATACTGTATTAATAACCCACATATACAGGTACCAATAATCTTAAAATACCAGTAAAATAATAAAATAGTAACAAATTCTTAATTTTCCATTGAGGAAATCATTATTATGAATCCGCAGGAAAAGACTATGTAATCTGTGAAAATTTAAACACAGCACAATACTCTTTTAAAATGCTAATACAGTCTGGCAGACTTCAGTATAATTATTTCTAATGAAATTCTAGCAATTCTGTTTTGTCTTTATCCTTTTATCTTCTAAAAATCTGATATAAGAGGAAGGGGAAAAGACAGGAGGCACTTGGATGCAAAGAGAAAGACGAGCTGCAGCTGGAAGTCTGACATAAGGCTACCTCATACTAAAAATAAGCTTCAATTTAGTCTTCTCGTGTATAAATATTTAAATGTCCTTCCTTCTGCGGGACAACTCTTCCCTCAGTTATATCACCATTGTTTGCCCCCAAACAGTTCTTTTAAGCATTTAAGTCCAAGGAAGACATACAGACATTTTCACAGTGGTTTTTCAGAGCCATTCCTATATGTATCCTACAGGCTCTGACTAGGTTAACATATAAAAGATCCTGTAAAATGTGTCTGAACCATTCTCAAGGCCTTTAAATTTAGCTCTGAGGATCTTAAGGCTGAAAGCACTCAACTTTCTCTCCTTTTAAATTTTAAAACTGTCTGAAAATACAGTTTTTCCAAACAAATGTACCTTCAGCTCCCAGTGACAAATCATCTTCAAAACTTCCTCCATTTCTCACAAGCACACCTGAAAGAAACATTAAAAGATTTATCCTAGTGTTCTGTTCCTTCTGACCGCCCCCATGTAAAATCACTTAGTAAAACAAAGGGACCAAGCAAAATATAAGATACAGTAAAGCATTTCAGACCTGAATGCCCTCTGAAATTACTCTGATTATATCATTTTAAGAAGCAAGTATAAACTTTTACTTTATCATAAAGGAGCAGCCATGATTTGCAGCCAGGTAAAGTTCTTAGAAGCCGATCTACAGGCTATTTAATACTTACGCCTTTGAAGATGTTCAATTAGATAACATATCTTACCCAAGAGTTTCATGGAAAACCAGATCCTGGAGCAATCATTCCTTTTACACCCCTTATATTAAGTCAGGAGCTCGAGCTAGATGTTCCTGATACTATAAATGTTTTTATATGCCTTGCCACTACCTGCACATTCTTGTTGTACTTTGAACTTTAGAATTCTGTCTTGTGCAGGTGGTAAAATTTCAGGTGTGGCAATTTCAGTTAATGTAAGCAAAGAAATGCTGCACTAAAGCTAGTTCACTTAATATATATTTTCTTTATGTTTACATGTATTTCTATATTTAATTAGTCTTTATGATATCTTTATCTGGGTAATTTGAGTTTCACATTGTAGAAAGGTTTGGTCATTTGCTTAAACTCACCACTGTTTTAAAGCTTATTGACAAGGTTTCTCCCTTTTGGCTTCTACCTCAGAATATATTTTAAACATGAATATCACTTTTATAATTCAAATATATATACACTTTCTCTCAGAGGACAAATGAAGCAGGGCCCTCATAAAGAACAGATTTAGAAAGGCAACTTTATCTTACCCTTGAGTGTACTACTGCTTTGCTCATCCAGTGAGGCTCCCAAAGGGGTACTGAAACCACAGAAACATATAAACCTTAGTCTTGAAAAGCTGTCTGGAGAGCTGTCACTGCACAGCCTTACACTTAAAGGGTTATAGCTAAGCAAGTTTCTAATCACAGTTTAACTCTCCTCTAGAACACACAAGGAATGCAAGTGGATTACATAAGTAATATGCTACTAAGCAAATACTTATGTCAAGTCAGTTTACCAGGAATGATTTAATCATACGTCTGATCTGACAGCAATTAAGAGCAAGAATGGCAATTACAAATGACATGAACTAGCATTTTCTTTACAAAAACAGAAAAAAAAAAAAGAGGACAATAGGAATTAAGAAAATGTCTGCTTCCCTCAATCCCCTCCCTAGAAACAGGAAACAATCAAAAGACAGCAAATCTTTACCTCAATAATATTAAGTCAGAGTTTGGTTTGAAATAAACCTCATCTGTTAAATCTATCACTAGCATTTTAGAGCACCAGTCAGCACCTCCCTTACACCAACAACTATCTCTTTTGATGTAAATGGAGAAGATGGAGATGTATTTTCTGCTTTTAAACTAAAAAATGCATGTATTTTTCATTTAACTCCGAAAATTACGAAAAAGTCAGCTTGAGAATCAACCAAGAACTAGCCATTACTAAAATTCTTTCACATTCTTGTAGTACAAACAGATAACTTAGAAATCTCTTTTCTTAATGCAAAAATGTTTCATTTCTTTTTCAAAACTACATTAAAAAAACAGATTGTTTTATTTTAAAAGTTCTATTTTGTAATACAAATCTTTCATAACAATTTATACCTGTTAAAAATTCACATCAGACATAGAGGATCAACATAAAAATATCAGTTTTAATAATAATTGAAATATACAAGCAAACAAATATACAAGCAATGGCAGTTCTTTGAAAATTACTGATTTTGATATGGAAAAGAATCACAAGCAACTACCCTAAAGATATTAATAAAACCTTTGAGCTAAGTTTTTGCATATATTTTAATAAAATTAATTTATGCCTTCAAAAAAGTCATTCTTCCTGATGGCTACTTTCTTAGGTAGGACAAAACACTGTACTACTTCTTGTGCAGACGTCTCCAAGCTTTTGTGCACTAACTAACAGAAAGTAGCAAATAAGCAGAATATAACTGGCATTCTCCTTCCAAGACAAGTCTCCCACTCTTAAAATTGCTCTCTTCCAAATTCTATCAAAAACTCTATCTCTTCTTAGATGCTAATTCAAGTGATCTGTTCTTCCTTCGCCAAAAAAAAAAAATGGTTATCAAAATAAAGATTCCTTTAAGAAAAGACAACATATTATCTTTACTCAGGATATGGGCAGCAATAAGAAAACAAAAACTATTTTAGAAGTTATCAGGGAGAAAAATGCTATCTTCATATCATCTGTACTTAATGTACAAAGTAGGTTAGATGCCCAATTCCAGGAAGGATCCTAAATTGTTAGGAAAAATATTCAGTTGCATATATCCTGGAAGCCAAATATGTGATAATAAAGCCAACATTAAAAGATTATTTGTTTTAGCTTTTCCAGGTACAAATGAATGCCACTTTTGTACAGAACAGGTGCAACAGTAGGAAACAAGAAGGAAACCTATGAGGGAAGGAGCAGCAGACTATCGAATCTGCCTATGGAAATCAATATCATCAACAAACCTGGAATTCTCAGAGACGATATGTCCTGGTGAATGCAGCATTTGCTACTGTATGTATCTTAAAAGATGCACTTATTTACTATTTACTTGATGGGATCAAGCAGATCTACCTGATACTTGATATAATCTCTTATACAATCTTAATTCCAGTACATCGTAAAAATAAACAGAATGCGCTCCTTTTCTTGTTCTTAAACAATTTTTTTTTGTACATCTTAGAGAGAAGGTCCACACGGTCATCATATCTCAGAAGGGTCTATGCCACCCCCAACAGAAGTTAAGGAGTTCTGTCATAAAGAGAAGGCTGCAGGCAATTCATCAAAACAGGACATCAAGAGAGTAGTGACCAATATTTTATCTATCTTTAGGGAAGAAAAATAAACTGGCATCTATGAGAATCACTTCTCCATCCCCCCTTCCCAAAAGACTTCGAAAACTCTGGTGTTGGAACAAAAGATTACGAAAAGCCCAAATGACAGGGCAAAAAATACGTGCGACGCAAACACCTTAACCAAAGTTAAAAAGCAACGTTCTTCACGTTTTTACAAGTTGCAAATAAATTTGAAAAAATAATTAAAATGTGAAACCAGCACATTTCACCGCAGTGAGATTACTTGCAATATGATTCATCTCCTCTGTATTTTATCAAACACTTTGTACCAGCTGCCACAGCATGTAATTAAACAGTTATGCAGTTTGAATGCCTTCAAAGTTCTATTTCCCTTCCGTGAATCCCTGTGCCACCTCACAAACGCATTTCCAAGAAGCAAACTACGAGATCAAAGTTAGCTAGTTTTAACAGCTCCCCAACTAGAACTGTCACACACAAAAAAATTAAAGCCCAGTTAGTGTACTACTGTAGTTAAGTAAATTAAACTCATGTAAAACACATTTGAAAGGGAAATGATTCGATGCCAGATGCACAGATGCCAAAACAAAAGCAAAATAAAAAGTTGTGTGAAATGTGAAAATCCTTTGCAATAAAAACAAGGCAAGCATAATAACATGGCATGGTTATATGCTTTGGTTTCTGATCTCTGAGGCTAATTAACATCATCACCGGGGCTGCTGAAGTCCTAACATCTAACTGTAAAAGCAACACGGTCACCAAATCCTCAGCGGTCACAGGACTTCCATTTCTAATCGCGTAAAGGAGGAAGCTATCCGCAGGCTCACTTTCCGGTTTATAGCTTACAACGGCCCTGGGACCCACAAGGACAGCGGCCCGAGTCACTCTGCTCGGGCGTCCCATCTGCGTGGATCTCTCTCCCGGGCGCGAGCGGCGCCAGCGAAGACTCACCGGCAGTCCTTGAGCCATATCGCGATCTTCTCGTTGGGCACGTTTCCTGCGGGGCAGAGCGAGGGGACAACTCGTTACCGACCCCAAGACTCCGAATGCCGGGTAAACCTGAGCACTCGCATGTAAGGAAATCTACTGGGGGCCAAGTGCAGCCTCGGCCACATGTCTTAGGGTCCATCTGAAGGGAATGCAGATGGCACCGGGGTGTCTATGTTGACGGTGAAGACGCCTTGCCAAGCGCGCGTGTTTAAAGGTCGGAAGCGTCTCCTCTCCCCTCGGCCTATCAAGCCCGGGAGGCTCTTCCACAGCTCAGGAGTCGCCCAAGGCGCACGAGACTTCCCCCGCCTGCCAGCCCGCACTTCCCCGAGTCCCCCACCCGCCGCAGCCCGGCCGGGCGCACCGACCTCTACCCGCCGCCGCCGGCAGCTTCGCGCCCGGGAGGTCCTCCTCGTCCTCCTCGTCGTCCTCGTCCTCGTCCTGCGTCGTCGTTTCTGTGGACAGGTCCTCCGTCTCCGACGCCTGCCAGGACCCGCGGCACTTGGCCCAGGCCTTCCTTCTGCGACTCGCCACTTGCCACTCCAGTTCCTCCTCCGCCTCCGCCGACGCCACCAGGGGTCGGTCCATGGCCGCACCCGGGGCTCCGCTGCCCCAGCCCGAGCCTGCGCGAGACAAGGCGGCGGCGGAGACCCCCGCCCCTGCTGTCAGCGCCGGGTCGGGCTGGGGGCCCCGGGCCGCGGGCGCAGGAGGAGGAGGAGTAGGAGGAGGAGGAGGAGGAGGAGGAGGAGGGAACGGGAGGAAGGGAGGGAAGGAAGGGGAGGGAGGGGGCGGAGGGCCAGCGCTTCACATGAAGCCGGCCGGGCGCAGGAGCGCGAGTGGCCCTAAGAGGCGCCGCTGGGAGCCGAGCGCCGGCCAGCCCCAGCTCCCCGCTCCCCG